GCCTGGTCGCGGTCACGCACCTCAACCACGAGCACGAGGAGTGGCTCCGCGAGGCGCGCGAGCTGCTGGCCAAGGAGCAGGAGGAGACCAGCGCGCTCAAGGCCGCCAACGCCGAGCTCGACGCCAAGGTGGCGCAGCTCGAACGCGAGAAGGCCGACAACGAACAGCGCCTCACCTCCGATATCGAGGCCATGCAGGGCACCAAGAAGGACCTCTGGGCAAAGGCAACCATCACCTCCATCGTGTGTTGTGTCGTGTGTGTGTGTGTTTGTGTGTTGTGTGTTGTGTGTTGTGTGTTGTGTGTGTGTGTGTGTGTGTTTGACAGTATGTTAACACGCACATCGTACAGGTTTTGGCGTTGACTTCGGAGAAGGAGGAGCGGATGAAGGAGTGGGACCGGAGCATGACGGACCTGCAGACGCTGGCGCGCGACCTGGAGCTCGGTGAGATCCTCGATATCGGCGGCAAGCGACCCGACGGCCGGGGCCAGCTCGAGGGCCGCGTCCACGAGTTCGCCGACCTTGTCGCCGCCAAGCAGGCCAAGCGCGACCGTGAGGCGCGCGAGCTGCGCGAGGCCCACGAGAAGGAGGTCAAGGAGCTGCGCAAGGAGGCGGCAGAGACGATCAAGAAGCTGCGGGCCAAGGTCGACAAGCTCGAGGCCAAGACCAAGGACCTCAAGGAGCGCGAGCGCCACCTGAAGGCGCGGGTCAGGGAGCTGGCCCAGCTCAACGAGGGCCGCGGGAAGGAGCTCGACCGCAAGCGCGACGAGCTGGAGAAGACGATCGACGTCAGCGCCGACGTGAGCCACAAGCTGCGCGAGCAGCTCGAGCGGGCCATCAAGGACAAGGAGGAGTGGAAGACCAAGGAGGCCGTCGCGCGCGCCGAACTCAAGGAGGAGAAGAGCCAACACGACCTCAAGAAGAGGGAGCTCGCCAAGAAGACCGACGAGTTCAACCAACTAAAGAAGGTACGTCGTGTGTCGTGCGTGTCGTGTGCCACACGTGTGCCGCTGACCACTTGTCTGTGCAGGAAAGCGAAGATCAGACGAGGTTGACGCAGACGCGCATCGACGAACTTCAATGGACGCTCGACCAAATGGCTCTGTCGCGCGAGGCCTCCGACTACCTTCAGGCATGGGCGCCTTCTCTGCTGCAGCTGTTTCTTGAGCAATCGCTAATTGGTTGTTTTTTATATTTTTATCTTTCTTTTATTGGAGCAGAATATCAAAAAGCGAGACGAGAAGCAGAAGGCCCAGGCCGAGCACATCGCTAGTCTGCGCGAGAAGAAGAAGGCACTCGCCAAGGCCCTCTTCACCGCCAACGCCGACCTCGTCAAGTACTTGACATTCTTCTCATTCCACCTCATCTTTATCGACCGCTTGCTGGCTCTGTGGCCTTACATTTGACCGATCTCTGTGCGCGTGATCGTCGCCACAGGGCGGAGAACATGATCATGAAGAAGGAGCGAGAGTACCTGGCGATCGTGCAGCAGGCCGAAGAAAAGGAGAAGACCTACAGCGAGCGCCTGCAGCAGCTCACCAAGGTTCGATCATCAATTCTTCTACGGAGTGCTCTGCGGAGCGTCTCTCTTCTGTTGTGGCCGGCCATCACGTCGAATAGGAGCTAAAAATTGTGTGCGCTGTAAATGTGTTGTGTGGGACGAGCAGGAGAAGAAGGAGTGGCAGGAGCGCAAGAAGGAGCTCAAGCGGTGGGGCAATCGCGCCATCAAGCGCTACCGCGAGAAGCAAAAGATGTATGTCAAACGGCTCAACGAACTTCGGGTACGCACACACAACACACACACACACACACACAAACACACACACACACACACACACAACACGCACACAGTCTCACGCACACGATCACAGGAAGCGCGGCTGGAGAACGTGGAGCTGGCCAAGGAGATGCGGGCCAAGACGCGGGAGTTCAAGGGACTCAGCAAGCAGGTCAGAGACCTGAACAAGGAGGCCGAGAAGAAGTCCCACCTCGTCGAGTCGCTCGAAATCGAAATCGCCCGCTACAAGCGCATCGAAGAGAAGGAATCCGCCGACGCCTCTTCCGGGTATGTGTGTGCGTGTGCGTGTGCGGTCACGCGTGTGCGTGTGCGTGATGCTGTGCGTGTGCGTGTGGTGGTGATGCGTGTACTGACGCTGGCGGTGTGCAGGGATTCGGAGGCGGAGGGCGGAGCCGCGCAGCCGAGGACGAAGCGGCGGCTGGGCCTCAATCTCACTAAGCTCGACAGCCCCATCCGCTTCTCGCTCTCGTCGCCCCGCGCCTCTCCGCGTACCAACAGCCGCACCTCCAAGGACGAGATCTCGAACTCCTCGTCGCTGCCCACCACCACGACGACCACCAGCGGCACCGCCATCAAGGGCACGGCCAGCGCCTCGCTGTCGCCGGTGACCGAGCGAAGCAAGGCGACCGCCCAGCGCCGGCGCAGCGCGAGCTTCGACAAGAGCGCGGTACCGAACACGCCGCTGGCCGCCATCAGCACCCCATCGCGACCGCCGCCGCTGCGCACGTCCGACGCGGCCGCGGCCCCCGATTCGCCCCGGTCGACGCTCGACAGTGCGGGCAGCGGCAGCAGTGTCGACACGCGCGGGACGGGCAAGGGGAGCAAGGTCTACTGGAAGGACGACTGGAAGGACGAATCGTCGCACACCGACGAAGACGACGATCTCCGCTCCATCTCCGAAGGCGACACCGACTCCGACGGCGACGACACCACCAGCACCAGCACCACTGGGTCGCGCATCGGCGTGTCCGGCAGTACGCCCCCCCTCAAACAGCCCATCCACCCACCAAGGCTGTGTGAGTGCTTGTGCTGACGTGGCGTGGGCCTGATGACGACGTGCACGCAGATGAAGATGGGTGGGAGGAGGAGAAGAAGGAGGAGGGCAGCGGCAGTGTGATCACCGTGGGGTCGAGCGGGAGCGGGGTGCGGCTGAAGCTCGCCTCGTCGTCCTCCGGCACCTCCGCGCCTTCTTCGTCCAACACATCAGCACGCTCCTCTGGTACGCGCCTTTTTCAGAGGCGGTCACGCGCACTGGTGACGACCAGGCTGACCCGCGGGTGGTGCTGTGGGCGCGTGAGCAGAGGTGAAGGTGAAGAAGAGGGGCTCGAGGGTGTACAGGATGATGCTACAGCGGAAGTCCGGCAAGTCGGGGCGCAATCTCACTTCGCTCTTCCTCGACGAGTACGCCCGGCACACCGGCGAACTCGCCGCCGGCGAGGAGGCGCAGCTCGCCTTCCTCCAGGACATCCTCGACGTACGTCGACCGCACACACCGCACACACCGCACACACGTGCTAGATCCTAACATGTGGAGGGACACAGGCGTTGCCCAAGAGGCTGAAGGGAAGCAAGGGCGGCTCGCGGGTGGAGACCCTGGCGCGGCCGACGGTGGATCGGATATTCGGACCCCTGGCCGCCCTCGTGCCCCTCCACGCCCGCATCCTGGCCCTGATCCGGCACGCGCCGGCCACGGCCGAACCCAGCGAGAAGGGGGAGCCCAAGGCCGAGGCCGACGACGAGGCCGAGCCGGGCGAGACCACCGGCGGCACCGGCGGTGGTGGCGGCGGCGGTGTTGGGGAGGAGGAGAGTGGCAGCGGGGCGACGCCGGCGGGCAACAAGAAGGTGGCGAAGAGCGATGTGCAGGGCCTGTGGAAGGAGATGGGGAGCGGGTCAAGGACTACAAGCAGTTCATTGTCGACTGCGGGCCGGCCATGTTCGAGCTCAAGCGCGCCCTGGCCAACAACCCCGCGTTCGCCTCGTTCTGCGCCAACAACGAGGGCATCGCCAAGGTACAGCTCCGCTCATTCTCCACCCCAATTGGATTCACACTCATTCTCGATTCGTTGATCGTCGAGCAGGTGATGAAGGGCAGCAACACCACCGATCTCATGGCGCTCTTGCTCTCTCCCGCCCAGCGACTCACCCAATATCGTCTCGCGCTCAAGGCACGTCTCCTTCTCACTCTCTTCGTTCTTCTTCGCTCGTTCATTCGGAGTTACAGGTCGCGCGGCTTGGCTAACTCCGACTTGGCAACAACAACACTCCTGCAGGAGTGGATGGCGTACATCGGCGACTCGGCCAGCGGGTATGAGGAGCTGTCCAGCATCCTCATCAAGATCTCGGGCGTCGAGCAGCTCGTCTCCTCGCGCGTCTACCAACTTCAGTTCACTCACAACACCATCTCACGCATCCGCTCCGGCGAGGTAAGTACCCACCCACCTGCCCTTCCACACACGCACACTCAGCTCCTCACTCACGACGCGACACGCACCACCGCACACACCGCGCACACACCGACACCGCACACGACACGGCACAGTCGCTCCGGGGACCAGACCGAACATTGATCAAGGAGAGCTCGTTCTCGGTGGTGCGCGGCAAGCGTAGCTGCACGGTCCACCTGCTCCTCTTCAACGACATCCTGGTGGAGGCCGACGAGGAGAGGTCGGCCGCGGAGCCCTCCAAGCGGCTCACGATCAAGATCTGGGACACGTCGCCCAAGGCCGAGCAGAACAGCGCCGCCCACCACCACCCGGCCGAGCTCGTGCTCCGGCGGGTCATCAGGCTGGGCGACGGCGTGCAGGTCGAGGCCCTGCCCGACACGCGGAAGGAGAAGCACGGCTTCAGAGTAACGGCCTCCAGCGACGCCGACGCCGACGATCTGCTGCAACTCAACGCGGAGGACAAGGGCAAGGAGCCGCTACAACAGCGGCAAGCGCGCGAGGGAGAGGCCACGCCCGGCGGCGACGGCGGTCCGGCGACGATCGCCGTGTTCGCCAGGACAGACGCGGAGAGGGCGGAGTGGATCAAGCTCCTCGGCCACAAGGGCTAGCTCTCGGCGCACCACCTGTATTTTTTTTAACAAACAAAATAAGAATAACGGACAATAATATAATAAGATTATTGAATATTCATGAATATTTATATAAATATTCAATATAGCTCTTTTAATATAAAGAAAGGAAAAAGAAGTACAGGGCAGTCTAGTGCCCGTTCCGCCGACCGGGGATGAAGCGCTTCACGCCTCCCGCAGCTTTGGTGCCCTTGCCGCTGCCGCTGGTGGCGCCGGTGGTGGAGTCGCGCGGGGAGGTGACGACGTTGCCGCTCGAGGTGGCCTTCTCGTAGAGGCTGATGCGCTTCTTTAGCTCCGAGTTGTCGTAGGCCAGGTCCGCGATGCGCAGTTCGGCCACGCGCAGCTTGCGCTCGGCCTCCTGCAGCTTGAGCTTGAGCTCCCTGACCTCGCTCTCCAGCGCTGGCGACGACGAGCCCGCCGTCGATGGCGGCGGCGACCCCGAGCACGCGATGGGCGCCGACGACGACAGTGACGACAACGCCGACGACGGCGACGTCGGCGGTGATGAAGACAGAGGCGAGCTGCCGTCATTGACGTTCGATCGTCGTCGGCGGTGCTTCTGGAAGAAGGAGCGCGGTGTCGAGGTGGGCTTGGGCGGCGCGGGCGGCGGTGGAGGCACGGGTGGCGGCGCAGTCGCGTCAGCCGCCGGTGACGACGACTCGCCCGACGATGGCGACGACGACGATGAGCGGTGCGAGGTCAGCTGCGGCGACGATGCCACGCGGGTCGCCGACAACGACGATGACAGGGAACCCGGGTGGAACGGGGCGCTCGTGTTGTCTGTCGACGTGTCGCTGTCGCTGTCGTTGTCGTCGTCGACACCGAGCTCGGATGCCCGAGTGAGGCTGAGGTGCGTGTGTCGCGTGGGCACGGCCGATGACGACGACGCGGACGGCCGCGGCGACCGAGCGAGGTTGGACGACGACCGCGCGAGTCCCGTCGGCGAAGTCGAGGTGGTGGCCAGCGGCGAGCTGGGGGTGATGACCGACCGAACGAGGGTGTGGGACAGCGGCGGGCTGCTGTTGCGCGGGGTCGACGCGGCGGCCTGGGCGAGCGCGTCAGCGTCGATCTGGTCCTGCTGCCTCTGCCGCTCGACCGCCAGCGCGTGCTCGGTACGCGCGCGGTCAAAGTCGCGCAGCCACAGGTCGGCGTCGATCTTGGTCGGCGTCTGGAAGCGGTAGATCTTGACGTGGTTGTGGTGGTGGCTGCTGCTCGCGCCCAGTACCACCTCGAACTGGTTCGGCACAAAGGCCTGGGGCGAGAGCGGCGGCGACAGGCCGTCGAACGACGACACGGCATGCATCGAGGCCGAGTTGGACGGCGACGACGACGATGACGAGAAGAGCGAGGTGAGGGAGGTGGGCGACAGCTCGCGGAGCTTCTCCTTGGCCTGCTTGCGGTGCGACGTGGAGGGCGACGAGATGGGCGAGCCCTCGTCGCTCTTGAGCACGCGCCGCGCGGCGGCCTTGCCGAGCTCGACCTGCTCCTTGACCACGTAGACCTGGCCCGCCGGCGACTGCTGCTGGGCCGCGTTGTGGCCGTGGCCGTGGCTGCCGCGCTCCTTCTCCTTCTCCTTCTTGGCCGACTCCTTGGTGGGCTGGCACAGGAGGAAGAGGTCGTTCAGGAGGAACGCGTAGTAGGCGGCGCCCTTGCAGTCCTTCTCCTTGCCCTTGGACTGGTACCGCAGGCCCTGCAGCGCGCCCTCCCGCACCGGGTAGCGGTCCCGCTCCACCAAACTCACCGGTTGACCCTGCACACGCACCGCACCCGCACCGCACACGCACACCGCACACGCACACACCGCACACCGGTCAGGATTGAGTGATGCGGGTGAGGGCTGTGGGGGAGTGGGGTGCCTGGTTGGAGACGAGCTTCTTTTGGATGGCCTTGAGGTCCATGACGTGCTTCACCACGCGCGTGCGTTCGTTGATGCGGTCCACCACCTCGCTCACCTTGGCCCGCGCCAGCAGCAGGTCGGCGTAGTCCTCGTGTCCCTCGGGCGTGTTCTTGAGCGTTTCCTATTCGTTCGGGTAATAAGTTGTAATGTCAACATATATGCGTATATAGAAGAACTATAGGGAATATATTGATATATAAATATATATATTGGTTGTGGTGGTGAGTGTGCATACCTTGAGGAGGAGCGGGTACTTGCACACGCGCTGGAGCGGGGCGATGAGGAACGAGTCGAGCTCGAGCAGTCGGCATCGTGGCAGCATGAAGGCCTGCTCGCAGAAGGCCTTGAACTCGGGCAGCCTTCAGGGCGGCACACACGCGTGTGCCACGTCAGCATGTCATTCTACCAACTTTCGATCGAAACGAAAGATGGTTTTGAAAACGAAACGAAACGTACTTTTGTTTGTACTTGGTGACCTTCTTGGCGCGGGGGTCCTGGGAACTGCAGTAGGCGGCGTAGACCTTGAACTTGTCCGCCTGGGACACGAAGAGGTCTCCGATGCGGGAGATGATGGTCTCGCGAGCCTGCCTCTTCTCCAGCTCTTGGAGAAGGCTGTTGTTGATCTCGTAGATGGTGTCCACGTTGGCAAAGATGGCCGTCATTTGCTTCTTGTTCAGAAGCTTCTTCTCCTGGATCGGGTTGATGTACACCTACACAACACACCATCGCACACGCAACACACACAACAATGACAGTGAGACACTCACTCAAGTGTAGAGTCTGATGGCTGCGGGGAAGCGGTACTTCGATGAGGGTGCGGAGGTCGTTGACGTATTGCTTCTCGGTGGTGATGAGTTCGAGGATCACGTTCTGGCGCTTCTGCTCATCGGCCGAGAGGGAGGCCAGGAGCGACTTGTCCTCCACCGCGCCCACGAACGTCCGCACGCTGCCGTCTTCGTTGTAGTTCCTGTTCGAACATGAAGAAGAAGAAGAAGAAGAAGAAGACATTCACACCATTGAGTCAACTCCGATACATCTTCGTTCTTTCGGACATAAAAAGAACGAAGAACGAAGAAGCTGATGGGAACCTAGGGAGATGGAGGTCGGCGTCATTAGCAGCTGAGCCGTTCGATGACAAGGAAGGCGAAGACGATGACGATGATGGGCGGCTGCCATGGCCGTTTGAGGCGGCTGAGGAGTCAGAGGAGGACTCCCTAGTGGCAGTGGTGGCGCCGCCGGGCGTGGGCGGGAGCGGCCCGCGAGGCCGACGCCGGGCTCCCGCCGCCATCAGGCCTGCGCGTCGCCCGGAATCTGCGCCCTCTCTTGGGCTCACGCTCTCTTCGCCCTCGCTCTCTCTCGCCGCCTCCGCCGCCGCCGCTGCTGTGGTTGTTGTCGACGACGTTGACGACAAAGACGACGACAACGACGACGACGATGACGACAGCGATGGGGCATTCTCTTCTTCTTCTGCGGTGGTGGTGGTGGTGGTCTCGTCGGGTTGGTGGCGCGGGGAGCCGGCCTCGTGGGGCAGCGGAGGCAGGGGCGCGCTGGGGAGCGGGTGGTGGTGGTGGTGCGACCTGCGCGAGCGCGTGCCTCCCTTCCCGCCTCCGATCTCATCGCCGCCGCCTTCCGATGCCGCGCGTGCGATGACGATGTCCTCCATCACCTGCAGCAACGACTCCACCAGCTCCTCCTTGCTCTTCGTCTTCGTCACCCGCACCGCCTCCACACCGTCGCCACCTCCGCCCGACCCTCCTTCCGCCGCTTCTCCTCCTGCCGTCGCCGCTTCACCATCACCATCACCGCCCGGCTGGTCGCTGCTGACGTCAGCATCGCCACCACCACCGGCCTTCTGGTGGTCGGCCGCTTCAGCTTCCTCCTCCTCCTCCCTGGCTGTGTGGTGGTCTTCGGTGACGGCACGGTGGGGCACTTCCGCCACCTCGGCTGCGGGGTCCTGGCCGGGCGCCACTCCCGACGGCGGCGGGGTGCTCTCCGCCTCTCCTTCGGCTTCTTTGCTCTCGAGGCCCTCCCGTTCCTCGTCTTCCTCCTCGTTCTCTACTCCGCCAGCAGCATCGCTGTCGACCTGGTTTTGCAGTTGCTGTCGTGGCTGCTGCTCCATTGCCTCCAGGTCGCTGCTCTGCGGCTCTTCCTCTTCGGCGTCTGCTTCTTTCTCGTTCCTCTCCTCTCCACGCTTCTCCTCTTCCGCTTGTTGGGTGGCGTGGCCTAGGTCCCCTTCTTCTTCTTCTTCTTCGCTCTTTTTGTGATCTTCTTCGTCGCTTGGACCCTCCCCCTTGTCACCGACTTGGTTTTCGTTCTTTCGGTCTTCGTCGGAGTCATACGTTTGGTGTTGGTGGCTCTCCTTCTCCATCTTCTTCACCTCCTCGTCTGGCGACGATTCCGAAGCGGGTCCTAAATCCTCCACCAACCCCGCAGGTGAAGTGGAAGACTCGGGGACGGCCTCAACCGTTGCTTGCGAGGCCACCTCCTCCATCTTCGCCGATGTAAATAGATTGTGAGGCCCGCCGAGGTACCTTGTGGTGGTGGTTGTATTGCGCCTCGACAACACCTCTCTTCTTCAACAAAAATAAATGTAGACCCACTGAGCTTTATTAATTATTAATTATTATTTGATTTAAAAAACAGATTTAGTCTGCGGCGCTGGCGTGGGGAGGGCGTGAAGGCAAGAGAGAAGGGGTGGCGCCTGCGTGGTGTAGAAAGCGGGTGAGCCAAAGAGCCGCCAGTCTGGGATGCGAAGCATGTACGTACCCTCGTAGAGTTTTTCTTTAATCTTGAGCTGCTGTTGCGTGGATTCGAGCTGCTCTGTGAGGTTCCGCAGCTCCTTGTGTAGCTGGCTCAAGCGAAGGGCCTTCTGCTGTGCGTTGTAGTAGAGGGCGATAACGAGCGCCACCAGACCTCCAATTACCGCGTAGATCATCAACATCTCGTATTGTTGTGCGCCTAGGCGACAAAGAATTGAAAATAAATAAATTGGATTTTTTAATTTTACACTTAGGGGCTGCATACGTGGCTGCCACATGGTCGGACAGGCACTGGCAGAGCATCGTACTTCATGTATCACGCCATCTGAATGATGAGCGCAGATGAGATGAACTTGGGGCGATCTTCGCGCTCTTTTGTAAAACAAACATTTCGAGGCATAAAATATAAAAATACAACCCTCGCAACTCGCAATACCTTGGCCGTTCTTGGTGCGGGAGATGTGGATCCTGACCCTCACGCCCCATGACAACACTGGCTCAGGTGCGCAACCAAGTCAACATGTGTGGTTAAAGAAGAGGCGCAACAAATTGAAATTAATGAATTAAATGAATGCAGAGGTGGTGTACTACCTGCCGACGGGCAAACACACAGTGGGTCGTAAAGGTTAACACCTCCACCTCAGCAATCACATATGCTCCTTTACCTTTCCTCTGACATCTTTGCATTATGCATCGATGCTATCTGTTTGGGCGTGGGGGGGGGGGATTTATAGGGTGTGGCATTGCGTTGAGCGACAAGTCCGTGTCGCGCCTGCACGCCGAGTTGGAGGTGGTGCACGCCAAGGAGAACTTGGCCCTGCCCGAACGCCAGCCGCAGGTGAGCATCACCGACAAGTCGCGCTTCGGCACCCTGCACAACGGCACCAAGCTGGCCGCGGGCGAGCCCACTCGGCTTGCGGCGGGCGACGAGCTCAAGTTCGGGGTCAACCAAGATGCCTACCGGCTCGCCTTCGTCCCGCTCGTGGCCTACTGGGGCGCACGCAACGCCGGCGTGCTCTCGCGCGAGGAGCAGGCCCTCATTCTCAAGAGCCTGCACAAGCTTGGTACCAACCGCACACGCACATGCACCGCACGCACCACCGCACGCACACACGGCAAACTTGACGCTGATGATTGGTTGATTCGTGCCAGGCGGGCATGTGGCGTACGGCCCGGAGGATGCGACGGTGAGCGTAATGAAGGAGGTCAGCGTGTCGCCCGCTGCCAGCGTCCAGCTCCTGCATTCGCTGGTGCGCGGGCTGCCCATCATCACCCCGGCCTACCTCCAGGCCATCGTCGACCGCCCGGCGCTCTCCACGCCCCTTCCGTCCGCCACCGAGTACACCTCTTTCGCCGCTCACATTCGACTGAAATTCTTTCCACCACTGCATTGCACTATTGATGTCGTCGATTGTGTGCGTGTGCGGTGGTGCGTGTGCGGTGGTGCGTGTGCGTTCGTGCAGCTATGCTCCGCAGGTGAGGGGGAAAGATAGGAAGGAGGTCAGCGCCGTTGAGGCACGACTCAAAGCAGTGGCTAGCGGTGGTGGTCAATCATCGATGGCCGACGAGCCTGCGCGTCTGTTCGATGGCAAGTCCTTCGTGATCATGTCCAGCCGCCAGGTACGCTGGCGTTCGGCCCAGGCCCAGGCCCAGGTCCACAGCGCCACGCCTGACCTCCTCCCCTTCTCGCCTGTGTTGCCCGGCAGACCCAACTGGGCGAAGTTATCAGCGCGCTCGGCGGCCTCGTGGTCGAGTCTCTCGGGCGGGAGAGCGATCAATTCTACCATCAGCACCGACGGGCCTGCATCGTCCTGCCTCCCGTGCGTCTCCACTGGTCGTCCCTCTGTCATAGACTTCTCACCCGTGTGCGCTTGTGTGCTGTGGTGCGTGTGCGGCGTTGCGTGTGTGCATGTGCGGTGTTGGGTTTGGTACGCACAGGAGAAGGCTGAAGGGGAGACGACGGCTGAAGACAAAGAGGCGCGGCTTAAAGTGGATCAGTTCCGGAAGGCGGGAGTGCGGCCCATCCCCTCAGCCGAGGTCGCGTCGGCGATCATCCTCGGCGATGTGTCGACCCACTGCAACCCGCCGCCTCCCGCCGAAGCCCCGCCCCTTGCAAAGGGCACGGCGGCCGCGGAGAAGAAACGGAAAGCAACGCCCGAGCCTGCGGCTGCGGCTATGGCTGCGCCGGTCGCGATCGTGTTGGACGAAACCGACGAGAACGAAGACGAAGACGAGCCCAGCCTGGTCATCACCAAGATCGTGGACGCGGAGGAGGTGAAGAAGGAGAAGACAGAGACGGAGGGCAAGCAGGCGGGCAAGCGGAAGCACCTCGAGGAAAAAGAAGAGGAAAAGAAAGAGGAAAAAGGCGCGAGGAGGGCGACGGCGGTGGAGGCTGCGGTGGAGGCCGAGCAGCCGCAGCCGAAGAAGAGAAGGGTCATGGAGATCCCAGCGGCAGGGGCCGTCGCGGCGCCGAAGAAGCGAAAAGCGGCGGAGCCTGATGGTGACGAGGGCGAGACCGAAGGCGACAACACCAAGAAGAAGGCGAGGGAGGAGGAGGAACCGGAGGCTGTGTCGACGATGAAGGAGACGACGAAGCCGATGACGACGACTTTGGTGGTGGCGGTGGCTGCGGGTGAAGGGGACCTTGGTCACGAGGAGGCCGAGGGGGAGCCGCAGCAGCCCAAGCGAGAAACGCCTCCTGTTGTGGAGCGATTGATGGTGACCGCCAACAAGCGTCTGCTCGCGCGACCGCTTCAGGCCGCGCCCAACTTCAAACGGTTTTCCAAGGTTCTCTCCCTCGAACACACGATACGACACACACGACACACACATGATGACACTCAATGACGAGAGCAGAACGCGGCGAGCGGCGAGGCCGCACGCGTGCAGGCGAGTCAAGCCAAGCGACCGCACGTGATTGCGTGCGTTGAAGACGACGGCAAGCCCTCCGAGGAGATGGAGTCCTGGCTACGTGAGTCCACTGAAGGAGGTACGCCTTCCCCTCCCCTCTTCCCCCCCCCCTCAATTCGTACAGCGCCTCACCAGCATCCACACCACCCTAAAATGCAGAAAAGGGAAAGACGAAGCTGGACTCGGCGGCGGACGAGCTGTGGGAGGCCAAGCCGAGGTCGTTCCCGGCGCGGAGCGGCTCGAGCTCTTCTTCAGCGGCGGCGACTGCGTCAACGACATCAAAGTTGTCGGCCGGCAAGACGACCTTCTCGCTCACCCGACACACGCGGTCGGCTTCCACGTCGGCCGCAGCCGCGCCCGCCAGCACGGCGACCACCAAGAAACCCGCCTCCCGACGCAAGACCACCTTTGTGTAAAAATGGCAATCAACGAATTGATTGGTGGTGACCAACCAAACAACCTTCACTCGTCCCCGTCATGGTCATCCTCATCATCGTCGTCATCATCGCCCCAGAGTTCGTCCTCGATCTCGTTGGCCTGTTCCACGTGAAAGTGAGCAAGTTAGTTGAAGAACGAAAACGAAACGAAGCAAAGAACGAAGAAACGAAAACGAAAGTCCTCATACCAGGCCTTCCATGTCGTCGTCTTCGTAGTGGCCTCCCTTGCCCGGCTTGGTCTTCTTCTTGTTGGCGAACAGGCCCCCGAATTTGGCTCGCTTCTTGCCTCCGCGGCCCATGTTGCCTCCGTCGTCCTCTTCCTCCTCCTCGAGCCGCTCGAGCGCCGCGAGCCGATCGAACCGATCCTCGTCGTCCCCGCCCTCCTCCTGCTCCTGCTCCGCGAGCTGTCTCTCCAGCTCGTCCCACTCGCCCTCCTCTCCCTCCCCTTCGCCCTCCTCCTTTTTCTTCTCGCCCTTCGCCGCCTTCTCGATCATCTTGTTGCTTCGCGTGGTGGTGCCGCCCTTCTCCCCGTCGTCTTCTTCATCCATGGCCTCGTCTTCGTCTTCGTTCTCCTCGTCCTCGTCGTCTTCTTCGTCTTCTTCCCCTTCGCCCTCCTTCAACGCCCACTTGAGGAACTCGTCTTGGTCGGCGTCCGACACCTCCTCTTCCTCTTCCGCCTCCGCCTTCACGAGCGAGCGAGCGAGATCAGTCGATACACCTACGCACACACCGCACACATGCAACACGACACCGCACGCGCCTTTGCCAAAGGCGAGTGAATGAAAATAGGTACCTTGGGGCCGTGGAAGGCGAGGAGGACTTTGTCGAGGTCGCGCACGTAGCACATGTCGAGCATGCGGATGTGTTCCTTGTAGGGCTCCAGTCCCTCCTTCATGCCCGGCTTCCCCGGCAGATTACGGTACCGCGCCTCCTCCGGTCGACGCCACGTCCTGATGCTCTCCAGCAGCCTGCCACCAACCAACCAACCAACCAACCACCCGGACCCCCAATTAATTGATTGATTGATTGCGACGCCAGTAGTGTGTGGAGGCGGAGGGCGGAGGGCGGGGGGCGGAGGGCGTGTGTGTGTGTGTTCGTACCACTCGAGGTGGACGATGTGAACGCCGCCGCGCTCGTGCGCCAGCTTGACCTTTTCCGTCCGCTCCTGTTTTGGTATTCGGTGATTGATGATGTCTACAGGGTTAGTACCCAGAGAAGCGGGGGGGGGATGAGATGATGGGGAGAGAGACTGTACGTTGAGGGCGACGAGGTGGGTGGTCTCCGGGGTGAAGACATTGGAGCAGCACGCGCCGAACTCCTCGGAGAGCCGCCACAGCGGGGTGCTACAGCGGGAGGACAATCGTACGTTAACGTGAGAGCACACACACGACACACACGACACGACACACACGACACACACGACACACGTGCGGTGGCGTGTCGTCGCACCTTTCGGGTTTGCTGCCGGTGGGGAAGATAGAAGAGAAGCAGATGTGTACGCCCTCGAGCACCCGGCGGCGCTGGACGTGGAGGCAGTACTTGATGTCGCGCGGCCGGCCGGCCCACGGAATGGCCGGCGGCAGCAGCTGGCCTGGCGCATCCGCGGCTGCGGCGGTCGGCGTCGGCTCGGCGTCGGCAGCTGGCTCGGGCGCGTAGAAGAGGCGGTGGGCCTCCCGGAGAGTCCGCAGTACGTGCAGCAGGTGCCCGTCCCGCAGCGACACGTCCCGATAGGGCAGATGCGGCGTGGCCGCTGTTGTCGCGTCGGTCTGTTCTGCTTCGCTTTTCTCGGCGGCGGCGGCGGCCGGTGGCGTCGTTGCCTGCTCCTTGCCCTTTCCCTTTTCGCTTTCGCTTTCGCGTTCGTTTTCCGCGGGCGCCGGAACGGCGGCGGGGGCAGCGGTTTCGGTCTGCGTCGTGGCATCGGCAGGCGATGCATCGGTCGCGTCCATCGCTCCGGAGGAATCGGGCGCGGCGGCGGCGGCGGGCTTCTTTTTGAATCGCGGCATGCCGGAGATGTCGATCTTCCTTCTCTTGGGCGGCGGCTGCGCCTTTTGTTCGCCCTCGCCGGCCGCCGCGGACTCGGCGGGCGCTGCTGACGTCAGGAGCTGCCGGCCGCCGTCGGTGGGAAGCGCGGCGTCAGTGGAGTCGTCGTTGTCGGGGGTGGAGGCCGGCGGCAGCGGCGACGATGATGCGTCGTCATCGCTGGCCTCGTGCTTGCGTTTGGTGTTGGGCGCGGTGGACGACGACGAAGAGGAGGAGGAGGAGGAGGAGGCGGACGCGCTGCTGACGTCAGAGGCCTGGCCCGTGGAGGAACGGCGCAGGGCTTGCCGCACTGGGTGGCGGTGCGGATGAGGAGCCTCCTATACAATCGCATGTGTTGTTGTGTGTGTGTGGTGTGTGTGTGTTGGTGAGCGTTGATGGTCAAGGAGCACCCGTGTGCGATGCGCGACGCGTTACCTTGTCCCGAGGCAGCGCGTTGACCTTAGCGTCGTTGAAGAAGTAATCTGCGTCGTCGTGGTTAGTTGGTCGGTTGATCGGTTGGTGCGTTTTTGGCCAGTCGCACGACGTGTCTACACACCACCGGTTCAGAAGAGAGAAGGAGCGTACAGGGTTCGATCTTGATGAGGTTCTTCGAAGTGCCCCAGACGTCGACGCGGTCGTCAATGATCATGACCATGCTGTCGTCAACCGGGAATATCCGCTGGAGGTTCTTTAGATTCATCACATCTGCGCCACAGTAACACAACAACAACAACAACCACACCTCGCACGTTAGCCCTGAAACATGGTGGAGCGCGCTGTGCTGCGTTGCGTTGCGTTCCACGTACTTCCGCACTCATCGCGAGAGACGATATTCTCCCGGAAGAGCTTCTGCTCTGGGTCGATTATCTGCGCCACCTGCGTACCGAGAGGAAGGGTAGGACGGCGAAGAATGGAACGCATCAGAACACTGGTGCGCACACAACACAACACGACACAACACACAGGTCACGGCAAGGCTTCGCCGCTCCCATACCTTGCGGGCGTAGGAACGGGAGCCCATGGTGTAGATGTGGAGCTCGAATAGGTCCTTGACGCCCATCAAGAATTCCTCCAGGTGGGGCCTACAACCAGTGACATGGAGAAGAGGAAGGGTAAGCGAAAGAAGAACGAAGAACGAAGGTGCGGTTGTGTTCGAATGTCGTGGGCGCGTACCGAAGCTTGAGGTAAAATTTGTGTGGATTGCCTTCGAGGGTGAAACGATAGAGGTGGGCAGCGGGCACGTCCTCGGGACCCGCCGGTGGGTTGGGCAGCGCGCACGTGATGCTGCCCCCCTTCGCCTCCGCCGCATCCGTCCCAAACAGCGTCTCCACCTCCGCGTCCTAAAAAAATCGACCACAACACACCACACACACACACACACACAACAGCAATTGAAGGGTTAGAGGAAAGAATGAATGAAAGAAAGAAGAGGGGAGAAAAAACAGACCTGTGTGGCGTGCACGAGCGTCTGGTCCAAGTCGAGGACGAGAGACAGCTTCTTGGCTGCCGTGAGGCGCTCCGCCGTGCGCTCGGCATCTCGCTCCGCCACCTGCCGTGTGCCATGTGTGCGTGAGCGTCCGGGCCTGGCCCTCATCATAAATGAATGCATGGCACGAGGAGGGCTGTCCAATACCGCGCGGGAGACGGTGAGGGCGGGCTGAGAGGGGATGAGCGAGATGGTGGCCTGCTTGTCGGAGGAGTTGATGGTCTTGCCGCAGATGGCGCACAGGTCGGCAAACACCATCTCATGCGCACAGTACTCCACCACCGCCACGGTCGTTCTGTGCCCGCAGTCAGTACTTATTTATTTACGCCTTTTTATACATAAAATATTGAAATAAATGAATAACTAACTAATAATAAATAACAAAAAATAAGAAGAACGGCCGTTGGGGAAGATGGGTACCCAGGGGAGACCAAGGCCTTCTCTGGATGAAGCTGGCGGATGACGCCCTCGAAGGGAAAGGGCGAACGAAGGAATTGGAGATCGCGGGAGCCTTCGGCGAGGAAGGCACACAGCTCCTGGCCCTCCAGCACGTCGCCCCCCTCCTTCACGCTCCACCGCACCACCTGCGCCGAGGCGGCCGCCGGCAGCACCACATCGAATCGCTTCACGGGATCTTCCTCGTGGCTTCTCTTCTTTTTGCTCATCTCTCTGTGCCGCTGCCTTTTGCGTTGATGATTATTGATGGAAGTGCACTTTCCTCTCTTCCTTTCAGCTGCTTGCTTCTTGGCGAGCGCGGGTGAGGTGCTCTAGTTGGTGATTTGATCGATTGATTAAAAGCCCCCCCCCAACGGTCAACTGGGGCTTGGTGCAGAAAACACGCTGAATTTCTTAAGGCCTGTCGACATAAAAGTTCCATTTTCTTTCTTTTCTTTCTTTCTGGCGGAGTGGATCGAGAGGAGAGAAGCATCCATCTAGCTCTCAGAAAGACTTGCGCGAGCGAGTTGCCAAAGCGAGACCGGCTGAAGTTTCACCTATTGCAGTAGTAGCGGATCATCACATCTCACTTCAGTATGAAGAAGCAGGCGTCCAAGAGCAAGGGGCTGCTGGATGACGGCGAAGAGGAGATGCAGCTTACCATCAACGAAGACTTTGCCAAGCAGTACGAACGCAAAAAGAAGTCTGAAGAAATAACTCAAGGTGCAGCCTCTCAACTCATTTAATTCTGCAAATTTTGATCAGAATCTGCAAATCTGCAGATCCTCCGGCAAATAGATTTTTATTATTATTTATGTCGCAATTATTTACTAATTTAATTGGGCAATTAATCACGGCTAGCCAAGGAGACGATCAAGAGGCTCGAGGAGGAGCTGAGCTCGGACGAGTCGGATGATGAAGAGGAGGACGAAGTGGGTCTGCTCGACCCCCTGGCCGAGGACCAGTTCCTCCGCATCCTTCCCCTGCTCGCCAAGAAGGACCCCAAGCTCTACGAGAAGGACATCACCTTCTTCCCTCCCGCCCCCGCCGCCGACGCACCAGGTCCCTCCTCTTCTCTCTTCTCTTCTCACACCTGGTGGCAACCAAACTGAACTGAAACGTGTGCGGTGGTGGTGGTGGTGCGTCAACCGCAGGAAACGGCCCCGCCAAAGTAACGTCGTCCAAGGGCCGACCCACTCCTACGGCACCTCCTTCTCTCTTCTTCTTCTCTCTCTCTTTCACTCTTCTCACTCTCTGTTGTCACACGCGCGTGTGTGCATTCTTTTCGCGAGTTCGTTAGACGCGTGCGGCGTGTCTCACATTTTTTTATTTATTAATTATCTGTGTGTAAACATACAGCCACAGCCGGACCCGAAGGCCAAGCAGCCCTTCCTCCTCAAGAACTACGTCAAGGGAGCCGTGCTCAAGCCCACCGATGGTACACCCACCACCACGTTCTTCTTCTTCTTCTTCTTCTTCGGCTGACCGTGTGTGCTTTGCTCCCCTGCAGAGGATCTGAGGTCGAGGAAGCGTGAGGCCGGCGGGACGAAGGAGAAGCCGGTGCTCCTGAAGGACTTCATCCGTGAGACCCTCCTCAAGGAGGGCAGCGAGGGCCTGCTCGAGAGCGACGAAGAGGACGAGGGCTTCAAGAAGCCCGCCCCCAAGGTACCCCACCACAACCAACGACACACACACACACACAACACACAACACACACCACACACACACAACACGGCACGACACACGACACACGGTGGTGCTCACGATCATGAGAATCACATCATCAAGGCGCTGTCGCACGTGGAAGAGCAAGAGATGCTGAAGAAGCAGTTCCTGGAGGCCGGCGAGAAGCTGGTCGCGGATGACGACGGCGACGACGGCGACGACAACGACGAGGACGGGTTCCTGAAGCTGCGGAGCAAGAGCAAGGCCGAGCGCGAGAAGGAGGAGAAGGAGGACGAGGAGTTCTGGAAGGCCGAGGAGAAGCGGACCGGCAAGAAGCAGGGCAGCGGCGACGACGTCCTCTCCTCCTTCTGGCTCGGCGGCGACCTCGACGACAACGAAAAGTTCCTCCGCAAGTACGCTCTACTCTTGTATTTTATTTTATTTATTATTTATTCATGGAATCAATTCCATCTTTTTTATTTATTATTTATTATTTATCATGTTATTTATTCTAACATGCGTGTGTTGTGGTGGGCAGCTACATTTTGAACAACGGCTGGATCGACAAGGAGGAGGGCAAGATCCCCACCTACGAGCAGATCCTGCAGGAGGTAACCGACACCTGCCCCACGCGCACTGATTGAAGTAGATAGAGCACACGGGAGAAGAAGTAGAAGA